ATTTGTGCTAGTAATTTGAGACAATCTCCGCCATGATTGGAGATTTTAGCGTAATTAGGACAAATTTAAAGTGACCAAAATAGAGATTACAGAACTACGAAATTCCAAACACAAGACTGGACAATGGTGTTGCTGGACAAAGGCGCGACTGGAGGTAGCTGGGATGGACTGGTGTGGCTGGCTGTGTAGGACCCACGACTGGTTGTGTGGAGGAGGCTCATCGCGTAGTTTTCTCATGCGAGAAGAGGCCGGTTGCGTGGTTGTCTCCAACAGGAGGAAGCAGGTCTCACAGCTATTGGTGAGGCGTCTCTCCTGGTGCACAGCAGCTGGTGGCAGCAATCTAGCTTTGGTGGCTAGTGGTGGCTGGCTATAAAGGCTGACCTCTTTTATGGTTTTTTTTATTGCAACAATGAAGGTCGATAGGGTTTATAAAAGAATTTACGGTTTCTTAACCTAAGATCCAATACCATATTAGGAATAATTGTGTTGTATTTCTCATTGAATAATACTTCCCTATATATACAAGTTCTAGGGATAAGAAAAGAAAAGTCATAATTAATTACAAAGAGTGTATTTTATTTTAATATCCTTTAACGAAATTTACCCTAATTACACATAAGGTACAATCTTTAACAATTACAAATACATATATAATGCTTCCTATGTAACATTTTCTAATAAGGCTAAACTAAAAATTATTAATCCTATTAATACAAATAAGTAACCAAATATTAATAAGAATAAAATCCAAAGTTTACTAAACTATTTTCTTTTTTTTTTTGAGATAAAACATAATGTGTATTAAGTATAAGGCACCAAGAGGTGTCTCGAACCATCTACTTTTAAGGATCTCAAAACCATTTATATTCTCAACTCCTTCAAAAACCCTTCTATTTTTCTCCTTCCAAACCATCCAGAAGTTAGAAAGCGAAATTATATCCGCTTATTTCCGCCGGCTGTTAACACCCTTCCATGCCCAAGTTTCTTTTCTATTGAACCGGCTATTGCCTAGCTAATGTCAAGCAGTCCATAAACCAAGATCCACAGCTTATAAAACCCAAATTTCTTTATTTTAAAAAAAACCTAACTAATGCCAAGCACTCCATAAACCAAGATCCACAGCTTATAAACCTCCGGACACCAAAGTACAATATGCTTACAAGTCTCCTCATCCCTCTTACAAAGATAACAAACATTAACCAATATCTTTCCCCTATTTCTCAAATTGTCAATAGTCAAAAAAACATTCTCTACTAGTCTTCCAACCAAAAAAGGAAACACGGGGTGAGACACTAGTCTTCCACATCTGTCTTATAGCGAAACATGTATCATTATCTTCATACTTGTACAGCTTCTTTTAGAAGGATTTTACTGAGAAAGACCCATTGAAAGAGAGGCACCACTGTGGAGCATCAATGCTTCCATCCAATGAAATACAAGGTAACATACCCAATAGCTCCGCATATTTTCCAGAATCCCAATCGTTGAGATTCCTCAATGCAAGTATTTGTTGTTCCTTCTCACCATTACTGTTCTCCACTAAAGAGTCACAAATCTTGATGTCTTTATGCTGGGTTATTGCATAAATTTGAGGAAAACGCTCTCTTAGAGTGCCCCCTTCCACCTGCTAATCCTCCCACAGTCTAAATCTATCCACTCTACCAACCTTCCACTTTATATACTCCTGTGGTCTAAAACTCTTCAGTAAGCCATCTTTTATAATCCATGCCATATTTTGCAACAGTTGTTTTTCTTCACAACATGTCTTCCTCTGTTATAAATCTCCATGACCATTTATCCTACAGAGCCTCATTTATCTCAGTCAAAGATTGCAATCCCAAGCCACCAAGGTATAACGACTTCTTAAGCTTACTCCGTGCCACCAAATGATACCTCCGTCTTTCACCCATGTCACCCCATAAGAACCTGCTCTGTATGACCTTCAACTTCTTTGTCACACTTTTCAGAATAGTCATCATAGACATGTAATAAATAGGAAGATACCTGAAGGTACTCTTGATGAACGTGAGTCTTTCCTCTTTAGACAAAAGACCCCTTTTTCAGTCTGCTAACCTCTTCTCAAATCTATCCACCACCTTACCTTTTTGAAGCTAGCACTAAGAAGTAAACCTAAATATTTGATAGGCAAATTCACATATTTGCAACCGAACGCCCTTGCCATGCTTTCTGAATCACATATTGACCCCAATCGCACCGACTCACAATGTCTTCCTTCACTACAGCCCAAAACTCCTGAAGCAAGCCCATCTTGAAGCCACAATCT